GTTGGCATTTTTATAGATTCAACTAAGGGAATGGGAACAAATTACAAACCCAATTCAAAAAACTCTGGATGCTGTAAATACACGAGTTTCTTTTATTAGTAAAATATAAATAAAAATGCAATGATTTGACAATGTTATAAACCTACATTTGTTTCGCAACTGAAATTAAAGCATGAAAGTTTAAACAAGTGGATTTGACTCTTTCACTGAAAAGAATTTCAGCTCGTTTTCAGTTTGACGGTAGCCAAACTCTAGTCCACACTTTTCAGATGCTCACGGGAGAAACAGCTCACGGGCTACACTTTCTGCTCAGATGCTGCTAAATGTGGACCATGCTTCACAGTTCTAATAAATAATGACCCCAAGCACGCTGCAAAAGCAACCTGAGCTTTTCAAAACAAAGAAACAGCTAACACAGCTAAGGCAAGTGTTGGACCGATTGTCCCGCCCTGATTTTTGGATTCTGACCTGGTAAAAGAAACAACTCGAGACAGAACGCTTCAATCCAACAATTCTTTATTCACCATGTACATGGGAGATGTGCACAGCACGAAACCTTCTGCAGATCTGAGGGGTGCTCCCTCAGTCTGTTACATATATAGTATTTCTTACCAGATTTCCTCCTTTCACACCTGCTTTTCCTGTATGCTTAGTACTCTGTGTTGTTGCCCCATTATTCATGCGCAGTTTCAATAAAAACACCTCCTTGCATGGTTATCCTCCCCAACTTCTGTTTCTGTTTCCCTGCACATGCCCTCATTTCTTACCTATGCAGGTGGCTTTTAAATGAACTCTTTAGGCACCTTAAGCTTTGCTACCTAGTTCTGCTTTCCACTCTATACTTATCTTTATCTATACTTATCCAGATGTTTTAGACAGCTGTTAGTGATGCTTTTTCTGCACCATTTCCTGTAAATGCTGTTTTCTCTCTCAGACTATTTTTCTCCTTCAGCTACACACGGAAGGCTGTCTTTGCACAAAGGCCTGACCCTAAGATAATACATACTACAATGCAGCTAGATAATATTATTAATCTATATAACGCAGCAAGCTAATACTATCACATATAATATAACATAACTCCACACAAGTCAACTGATCTCAACCAGTAAGTGAAGGTGGCTGCAGTAAAGCACCTGATGATGCCCATGGGTTAAAAACATCAAACACAAGAGTTTCATCCAAGTATTAAAAACAATCCTTATGTGAGTTAGTCCGGTTACTTTTGAGCCTCTAAAAATTGAGAGGGTGACTGTGTATAAAACTCGAAATTATTCTAAATTCAGAAGTTTTGTAAAACTCCTTGAAATAAAGCTGAAAGAAAGCTGGGGGAAATGCAGCTGCAATTACACTGTCACCATCAGGTGGCGCTGCATGACAGTCTGTTAAAGCAGCTTCCTGCGCTCCTGGACAGGACGCAAAACAAAGGTCCACATATTGCTTAAAATATCAGAGGATTTTTTGCTGTGACTTGTCTCGGAGTTGACTAAAAAAATTCCGTTTTAACTAATGAACTAATTTAACTTTAGGAGGAACGTGAGCAGGAACATTAAACAAACGCGGAGCCGCTACTTTCTGGATAACAAAGTTTCTCCGTGGTGTCTAATACCGCAGTATGCTGAAGCAGGTAGGTTGGGTGCTTACCTGTGGAGCTGGAGGGTCTCACAGCCGTAGTGAGCTTTAACCGTGGATTCAAACGACGCTGATAGTAGTAAGACAGACACGTAGCGTCACAGGTTTATTGTTCCGTCCGCTATTAGGCTGGGTAGTAATGTGGTCTATGCCACACCCACCTTTACAATGAACGCCAAGCAATCGCATCTAACCTGCTTCACCCCCATGCTTTGTCTAATCTGTTCATTCTTTAAAGGTAAAAAAGTGAAAGACACGCTGATCCTGCTGCAGGCTGTTGATGTCAGAAAGTTAGGGCTCTTCTGCTTGTTTCCTCGTTGAAGTATCTTGAAGTTTGTGACTTCACAGCATTGTTTCAAAAACCCTTGTATCCAGAGAGCTGGCCAAGAGAGGGAGTAGCTGTGCTTCAAGGTCTATGGAAGACCAGTTGTGCCACAACTCTCCTCATGTCATTATTGTCGAGCCACCTAAGTGCATCAGCAGTTTGTAACGAATTTGCTTATAACTGCACACCCCTTCAGACTGAATTCAACTCATCTTCCAGTCATAATCTTTTATCACAAGGCCAACACGTCCTGTTTGTCCTGTCTGTTCTGTCTGTTCCCAGCACACTGACAGAAACAGCAGTGAAAGGATGAAATATTTTGCAAGCTGCTTGAGGAAATAAAAGACTTTATTATCCCAAACTGAAGACTAATGTGCAATTTGTTCAATATGAGTCTTTGAGAAATCTTTATTTGTAACTTATATTAGCTTTCTTGTTTGTTTTTTTCCTTTGAGCCTACATACATTAATACCCAATTTTCAGTTGGCTATTGTTTTATTTCTATGCTTTCCATTATTTCATCCACCTGAAACTTGAAATATTAGCAGCCAGTCAGCATGTACTGTGATGTGTCATATGTAGAGTTACGGCATCTGTGAGGATGTAGAGAAACTGCTAACACAGGGGCGTTTTTAGCCCATTTTGTAGAAATGAATCAAAGCACCCCCAAAGATTTCTTACTTTTTTCTTCTTTTTTTTTTTTACAATATTTGCTAATTGTGTGACACACTACTAAAATTACCATACAGTGCTTGGTTGAGATATAATAGTTCAACAACAAAAGTATAGATATACCCCCCCAAAAAAAAAAAAAATAAATAAATAAAAATTAAAAAATGGTTTGGTCCAGCCCACCTCTCCCCTAACTGACTCTAGCGCCCTTTCTGCCAGAGCAATGGTGGCCAAGATGCAGCAGAGCAGATGTGTGAGTGCCTGGCTTAAAACAGGACATGTTAGCTGCATTTAACCTTCAGTTACTCTTTATATAGGTAGAAGTCAGACCGTGTTTCTTTTTAGCTGAAAAACATTACACCCAGGTAACCTGCAGTGTTGAAAATGTGTTTTTCGACAATATGTCTGTGAAGGTTCTCAGTCATCGCTACACTGTACAGTATACACTAATTGTTAAGTTTGTGTTTAGGAGTTTTGTCTTTCGGATGAACTGGTTTTTGTCTGAGTGTGTTGCTGGGTCTGTAATACACTGGGATGTCGTGCTTGGAGAAAACTCTCCTGAGTTTCTCATCAGAGTTTGTAGCGAGGAATGCCCAGACCTCTACATTGGAGAGACCTAACAGTCACGTCACAAGCGTATGGCACAACATAGAAGAGCCACCTCCACAGGACAAGACTCAGCATCTGCATCTAAAGGGCAAAGGTCATTCTTTCAAGGATGCCAATGTTCACATTTTGGACAGAGAAGACAGATGGTTTGAAAGAGGAGTAAAAGAAGCCATCTATGTCCACTGTGAGCGACCATCTTTGAACAGAGGCGGTGGTTTACGACACCAACTGTCTGCCATCTATAATCCAGTTTTGAGATCCCTTCCCAGACAACTCAATGCCCACTCACATCCTGGGCCATCTGACATCAAGAAATCACATGATAGGGTGGGGCCAGGTTTCACAATGAGCTCACCTGAAACCCTGGCTGATTGTGACCCACTCCCGTTTTTACACCTTGGCTCATGTGATTAGGTAGAGGATCATCAGGGGTCCTTTGTCCCTCTTGAGGGAATACTCCCACAGGGTTTAAATCTGGGACTCTCCACCATTTGACCCTAGAACTGAAGAAGCTTCTCGGATGAGAGGTGAAACGTCTTCAAGCAACTTAAAGAAGTCCAGACGCTTTTCTTTCCAAGCTCCTTAGACTTTTCCTACGATGTTTGCTACCCTACAATCCGTTGGTTATTTTGTCATGTGACGATATTAAACCCAAGGTACTAACTAGCTAACTGACTGGATGCCCATTAACCTTATAACTCCTGTTGTGTGTGTGTGTTTGTGTACAGAGAGACAGCCAGGTTCATAATGGATATAAGGGAGTTTTTTCAAAAAAAAGAGCCACATCCAGGTAAAAGTGTAAAATCAGATGATCCGTCAATCAAGAATAATGTTGGATCAGTGTTTCAATATTTATTGCTTTTATTAGGTGTACATGTGGTTGGGTTATTTGCCTTTTGGTTGAAAGTACACCGAGAGATGACTTTTTTTATTAGTGATCTTAATAGTATTGTTTTCATATTAATGTAATTTTTTCATCTAATTGAATACTAGGCAAATAGGCAAAGTTGTCTCTATTTTAATAATTTTTTTATTAATATTTTACACATTTGTACATTTCAAGGACTCTTCTTTAGGGTTATATTTTTGTCATTTGTACTTAGAAACATATAATCATATATGCTTAGAGATATATAATCGATTGTATAATGATAGTGTTGGGTTTATCTAGGCACAAACCCTGCTGGAACGCAAAACCATCAACTGCACGGCAAAACACGACAAGAAGGCGCTCTCTGTGTTTTGTGGCTCGCGAGGGAAGTCAGCCCAGGTTGAGGAAAAGATCCCTTCACCTGAACTCGGTCAACTTCGACTGACTCCTTCGCTACAGCCCTTTTTATTGTCACATACATGAATATGCGATTGCTAATACACGTGACATTCTCAAGCAGGCATATCTGCATCAATGTCTGTATTCTGTGTGTGGGGATGTGTGTGTTTTCAGCCATACCATACATAGACATACGACCTTTCAATGAACTTAATGTGTGTGTATGACGTATGGAGAAAAGGTATGCAGAAAAGCAGAAGTAAGCGTCTTGCTAAACTATAAAAACAGAAACTTGCAATAGTTCATGTCTCAAATGAACATTTAAAGATGTGAAGTCTCGCACTTTTATAGAACAGAACAGTCTGGTTTCTAAAGCTATTACAGAAATTATAATGTCGAGGCTGCTTCCTCTCATCTCATGGTACACAAGTG